AGCGCGGCTGCCGGCGCCTTCCGCCCGGCCGGCCCTTCTTGCAGCGCGCCGGCCCGGACAGCCGGGCGGGCAACGTGGCCCTTCCCCGGGGAGGGCGGGGCGGGGCGGGGCAGGCCGAGGGGCGGAGCTGTCTGCCCCAACTCGCCCAGGGCCCCTTCTACCCAGGTCCTCTCCAACGCCCCATCTCTCAGAACGACTCGAGGTCTGGACACCCCAAGTTTTCCAGGGTTCCCAACTTCGGGAGATGTAGTGGAGATAACTGTTACTATTGGGCCCTTCGCTGCTCACAATCGCAACTCCACGGGTCAATACCCATCAAACCAATTACACTTAATCCACTCCAGTCCAGACTTCTCGCGTCTCCCTGCCCAGCCCCAGCCAGAGTGCAGAATCTCGTGGAGCCTACGGGAACAGCCCTGCCAGAGGTAGGCCGAGCAGCTTACCTCAGTAGTGCGTTCACCAAGCCCAAAGCCAAGAATCTGGGGGCCTGCTCCCCCAACCGCTGGCTTCCGGGAGGGAGGAGTCGAGGGCATCAAAGAGGCTGCAGCTTACAGGGAAGTTAGAACAAGAACCAGGGCGCCAGAAGGGAGCCCGGAGGAAACACTTGTAGTCAAAATTGAGAAAGAGCAAGCTGGCTTCCCTCACCCACCCTTGTTTTTGTTTTTTTTTTTCGGGGTAGATAATGCTGTTAGTTCGGAGTAAAAGAGTAGAAACAGACAGACCTTTCCCTAGGGGAGAACAGAACCCATTAGACCCAAAGAGGAAATGAAGGCCTCAAGCAGTCTTTGGGGTAGACCTGTGAAAGGGGGTAGGGGGAACCCTGGAAAAGCCTAGATATCTGTATCTGACCCTAAGAAGTGAAGGTGGGAAGCTAAGAACTACTGGTTACTCATGCAGAAACTTTCCTGAGAAGTACTGGGTCCACAGCCAGCGCTAGCATGTGATCAGGACACACTGTTCTGGCACCAGCACCTGCCCCCATCCACTTCCCTCCCGTGTTTCAGAGCGCAGAGCAGTCTGGAACTTCATGGTGTGTGGTTACTGACATCACTCACTAACTTGTTTCTAAGTGAAACTAGGAATTATGCAGCGGTTTAAAGAAACAAAGGCAGGACATGACCTAAAATTCCCTGCATGGGGGTAAGGAGCTAAAACAAAATTGCAGTGGCCTTCACATGCACCTACACCCTACCCCACTCCCAGCCTCTCCTTTAACCCTAGCAGCTCTGCAGAATATACACTGTCATCTCACTCTACAGATGTAGAGTCTGAGGCTCAAGCTAAGTCCCAATTTGCTGAAGGTCACAAGACCTAATAAGGGTCATGGCTAGGTTTTAGACCCAGGCAGTCCTACTTCCAAGATGGCACTCATTCCCTCTTCGCATGCAGCCTTGAGTGTTTGAGAGAGCTGTGTGTCCAGCATGATAAGCACACAGTGGGGCAGCAGGGAAATCCTGCAGTTGGAGCCTGGTCCTAAAAGAGAAGAATGAAAGAAGAGCTGACACCTCAGTGATGCTGGACTCTGTGTGTGTGTGTCCAGGGTCTCCAGTTTAGTCGATTGTGTGGACTGTGGCAAGAGATGGGAGTCCACACTTATGGGCCAGTCAGCAGCCAGTGTTTCTATATCTCCGCCCTCTCTCTAAGCTTTTCCTCATGAGGGGGGCATGGGATTATTACATAGTAATACTCCATGTCAAAGCAAGAGGGAAAACCATAGTTTCCTAAAACTGGGAAAACTTGGGAAACACTGTGGATCCAAGATATCAAAAGCTAAGATCACTGTCCCAGGACAAAGGCCAGAGTAGAATGCTGAAAGGTGAGGAAACCAATTAGCCCAGAATATGTTAGATTCCCATCTCTACCAATCATCCTCCTCTATCTAAGGCTGTTCGATAGGGAAGAGAGAAGGTAACTGTGTACCAAAACTCACGCCCCATCACTATAACCCTCTGTTTAAATTTCAAGGCTCACAGAAGATCTAAGAGTAGAAATTCCCTGACTGTCTCAAAACAAAGGACCTGGTTAGAGAGGCAGGATGAGCTGAATTCTTGGATGGAAGCAAAAGAAAACATGTGTTCTGAGAGGCAAGATTCCAGGGTGATGAGTGCCAAATTGACCTGGGAAAAGAGGTCCTGGGCTCCTGATGGATGTTTCACAGAGAAGGGTTCTAGGGGAAGAAGGGCAGAAACAAGGAGCCAAGTGCTTGAATTCTGGGGATGAAACTGGGATTGGATTCTGTGAAAATGGAAGAATAGGAAGTTCTGGTCCTAGCCACTACTCCCAAAAAAGGAGAGGATAGACAAGAAGGAAGTGAAAATTGTCCCAGGAAACTGCCCTCCCATAAACAATGCCCAAGATATCCTGAATTTTTGTATAATTTGCAAAGAATTCATGCTCTGAACATAAGACAGATTTTAGCTTGAAACCATAAGTAGAAATAAATGCAAAGCTTTAAATCAATGATGTATCTATTTTCCCCCTCTTACTTCCTCCCGATATCTCTACTCCCCTCGACAACACAGAAACTCAGCTCACCAAAATCAAAGAAAAGAGAAAAGATTAACACAATAATCACCGAGCAATGTCTATTAAATGGAACTTTTGGTTAGTCACCTACAATTCCTTTTGGATAAAAGAAGGGTATAAATAAATTCAGTTACAACATACACACAGCATGTGGTTTATTGGTCCTGGCTAAGTGTCTGAACACCCAATGAGTGCTGTGCCCTGGCATCATGGTGCCCCTTTGAGAAGGCCGATGGCTGTGTCAAGAGGACTGTCTTATCGAAGGGTCAGGCTGAGGGAAGGATTACTGCGTTTGCTGGAAACAATAGGGGAGAGGAATTCTGGCTTACTCTAAGAAGGAAACATCTTACCAGAGAGGCTGTCTGACAGGGCCCTCGAGTTCTCCTCCCTGGAGGTTTGCAGCAGAATCCCAACGGCCCTTGTCAGGTCAGATGCTACAGTAGCAGAACAGAACTGGGCAGGCGATCACAGCATCTGCCACTTTACACTTAGGCAAGCCCTGCCTGCTCAGGGCTTCTGTAGCTTCCCCTCACGCATCAAACTGGGAGAATAATCCCTGCTCTGTTCTCCTCACAACAATGTGGTGACGAAAAACTGACACAACACAACAGCCTGGACACTTCACATAATGTAAGCACTGTACAAATACAGCACGACTCTGTGGCACTTCAAGCGCTTCGAAGCACTCACAGGCCTCCTGGGCAGGATGAGGGCCTGGGGCCACATGTCCCTAAGGGATCACTGTGATCCCAGTGTCTAAGCAAAGAACAGCGCCAGGAATTTGCTGGGCAGAGCTAGGGGAGGTGACAGATCCACCCTATAGTAGAAGCCCAACCTCAAGAGCTACCTTAGGCATCAGACTAGAGAAGAAATATCTAGGGCCAGGAAGTCCACCTAGGTCTGCCTGCCCAGCCCTCAGGCCACTGGGGGTCTCACATACTCCTATGGAAAAGAAGGAAGGGAAAAAGAAACAAACCAAGTCATAAATACACAATTTTCAGCTTGCAAATGACCACTGAATATGAGGCCCAGGTATAACACAGCTAGTGAGAGGCAAAGAGATGCTAGAAGCCAAGCTTCCTACCCCTTTCCCAGTCCACTGTATCCTACTGTCCATCAAAATTTCCAGCACCTCTTCTTTCTGCTGTTCCTGTCACTCAGAAAAGCAGGCATCTTGGCATAGGTAACTTGGAATTCAAGGAAGGAACAGAAGGTAAGAAGGTAAAATGAACAGCTTCTGCTTTAAGTGGGAACAGAGCCTGCGAAAATATAGAAGGCTAAACAATGGCAGTCTGAAAAACACTGTCACTTCAAAGAGCAGGAGAGAAGACCAGGATATGGCAATAGAAAGGAAAGGCCCAGGGCTCACTCCAAGAAATGGAGCTCCATCTCCTAACAGACACTTGGTCCTTGAGACTTACACTTCTCTCCACCTCTCTTTGGTCTGCTACCCCAAAGAGGCCAGCTGACTGGAGAGCTCTGAGAGCCACAAAGTACCTGGCAGAATCCTTTAATCTGAGTTCTCTTTGAACCCGTGCACCTTTGCCACCACTTCATGATGCCAGGTATTGGCTAGTAGCAACAGGATGAGACAAATTCAAGACAGACTTTTTAATTAAGCACAAAAAAGACTTTTGCCAGAACACTAATTCAATAAATGAACAGAACTCCTAATTCAGTTTTTCTCTATGCAACTATACAAGCATATCAAGCAATAACAATGTTACTCTGCTACATGTACATGGCCCTGGGTACTCCTGAAAAATCTATCATTTCATTTGTTCCTTGCAAACGACCTGTGGGGGACTTGGAAAGTTAGTTATCCCCATTTTGCAACTGAAGAGAACATGGCATAGCTTAACTGACATATCTAGGGGTGTACACTAAGAAAGGCAGAGCTAGGACACAAATCCTGATTCCCAAACCTGTGTTCTGTTCCTCTGCTCTTACAGTGAGGTTTCACGGCCTACATTTCCTTAAAGGGGAAGGAGGAGAGCCAAATTAGGAGGTATTCCAGACCATCTGCTACCTGCCCCCACCCAAGGCAGCTCTATTTAGTTAGCTCCCCAAAACACAGCAGCCTGCCTCAGCCCTGGATAATCCATTCCAGAGTTGTACTTAGCCCAAACTGACTTGGAATCCAATTACCCCAGTGTGGAAAAAGCCCTTACAAGTAATCTAATACAACCTCCCTTCAGAGGCCTAAAGTCTTTTTATGTTCTCCTTGATCTAACCTCACAACTGCCATTGCTCCCAACTCCTTTCAAGGTACTCTATCTGGGTAAGGAGCTACTGGGAACAAGCCTGCATGCACCCTGAGAGGGAAAGAGGGGTGAAGTTTCCTGTGTACCCATCAGGGTAAGAGTTCTCATCAGGGCATTTTCTGAATGGCAGTGTGTCCGGACTCACCCCACTCAACACTATCTGCACAGGAGCAGCAAGACACCAAGTGGGAAATGAGACAGGAACCTTACCTTTCTTCTCTCAGCTGCTCCCCTGAAGATCATCAAACCCCCATTCAGTACTCCATTTCCAAAACTGAGAATCCCAGATCAGAAACACCGAAGTGCAGCTTCTCTCCTCTGGTCCAGGTCCAAAGTCCATGGCTGAGTGGACTCTGAGTGGGAGGAGTCTGGGGGGGGAAGGAGTATGTCCAGGCCCCTCCCCCCCCTGCAGGCTTCAGTGTCCCTCCCAGAGGTCTATTACATCCCTTCATTCAGCTGGTTTATTAAGCCCAGAGTCTGGTGATAGGCAGATCCCAGGTACTATCCCATCTCCTGTTCAGGGAAGGAAAGTCATCCACTGTGAGGGCTGGAGAGTCCGTCTTCTGTTGAAGCTCATGAGAGGAAACAGGCCTTAGAACCGGCATGGCCCAGGAAGCTGATTTCTGTGTTAACCTGAAGAATATTTAAACATCATGACACTCTCTAATCTATTATATACCCAAAGGAATCCCTAATACTTCCTACCTAAATGAGATTATCATCAAAAACCCTTCCTTAAACACTCCACAAGGTTACTCAAAGTACCTACCTCACTCACATATTCCACCCCAAAACAGTCACCTCAAGTATGACTCAAGATAAAGGAAAGACAGCGCCTAATCCCACCATAGAAAAGTAACCAAAACCACTGCTGTATGGAGACCGTCTTCTAAGAAATACAGAAAAGAACATTCTCCTGTTCTCGTTTGTGCCACACATTAATCGCCCTACATCTCCCAAGCTTCTTAGGGTGTGCAGTGTTTTAATCAGCCAACTCTCCCAGTCTGAATTAAATCCATACCAGACCTAGATGCTGGCACCTTCTACAAGCATTCTTTGCCCCCTTCCCTTCACTGATACCTCCCCCGGCTTCCAAAATTGTGCCAAAGATGTAATTCCCAATCTCCGTCAAACTCCTTCCTGAGGCGACTCCCGAGAGCACTTTCCTGAAATGTTAAGAGGCCCGAATGCTACCACCAATAGCCCCAGTGATGTTCCAATTTTTTCAATCCAGTGGCCCACCCCGGCCGCCCCCTCCCTTCTAAGTTTATTCTTAAACACACACAGACACACACACGAACGCACGCGCCTTTCCTTCCTGTAGGGGCGTGGCATCCACAAGAACGCCCCCCCACCCAGCCAAGAACTTACTCCTCCCACCCTTCTCCCCAGAACCTCTTGCTCTGGGTTCACTGGGAAAGAGGGTAACGACGCGACCCTCTCTAGACTCTGACCCCCGCACCCCTCTGCGGCCCAGACGACCCTCGCCCTATCTGCGCTGGTTCTTTACCTGGGTCCCGCCCACCCAAACTCGGTAGGTATCCGCAGCCCGCCCCTGGTCGGACTCCAGGCCCCAGGCCGGGTCCCCACTACCGGCCCAGGCCCCACCCCCTCGACCCCCGGCGCCCGGCCCTCCCCTCGCACTCCTTTCCCCCTCCCACCATCCACCGCAGCCACTTCCGCCCGTCCTCCGGAAGTGGGTCCGCGGCAACTGCCACCTCCCGTCATCCCGCCTTATCTCCCCCAGCCCCTCATCACCGCCACCAAGGGAGCACGGAACGTGACTCTGCAAGACTTGAGGTTGTTCTGCAGTTACTAGTCACAGAACTGGAGACGAGGTGTGGGCAGGACAGAGTGCGGGTGAGAAAGGACATGGGGACAAGAGTAACGGCTGTGCAAGAAGGGGCGGGGCAGAGTGTGGCGGAAAGCCGGAGCTCGCGTCACGTCGAGCCGCGCGGGAAGAAGAGCGCATGCGCATGACACCTCGCCCGGGTGGTGAAGTTTGGTGCTTGGACTGCTTGGCCAGGCTGGACTTGGGCGGGAAGGGGGCGGGGCTAGAGCCCGCAAGTGGGGGCGGAGTCGGCCAGGGGCAGTCTCGCCCGGTCCCCTTGGTTTTACTGTCGCAACAACCTGCCTCTTTGGGGTCTGAAGAAGGCCTAAGCTGGTCCACTCTCTGGATTCGAGTCCTGGTGAGAAGCAGTTCTGGAAGCACCAAGGCCTGTGTTCACCCATTCCTACGTTGAGAGCTCTGTAGCAGTACTAGAAGAAAGCTGTTTTGTTTATTGCTTACTTTTCTCGCTGCATCTCTCACGGAGGCAGGACCTTCCTTGGGTCTGAAAAGAGACTACAGTAAGCTCTCCTCCCCTTCCCGCCCCCAGGACAGCTCTGTTCTACACGCATTGTGCGAAGCCCTTGTCAAGTATCAGCACGCACCAGTCTGTACCATGGTTACCTGAGCAGCACAGAAGTCTTCCAAAGGTTAGATGGCTAGAAAGTGATAGGGGCTGAATGCGAACCTTCCAGTCTGTAACACTAACCTTTGTTGCCACTATCGTGTGCAAACAGTCTCCTCGTGAACCTTTCCACACCTTCAAACTTTAGACTTACAGTTTCCAAAATTGCCCTGGTTGATTTTTTTCTAAATGTATTGGTCAGACATGTTCTTGTCTTAAAACTGCATGCAAAAGGAGCTACTACTAATTTTTGTTCATATGTCATCTACTTAATGACGTGTTCTAGAATTTTGCCAGGGCTTTGGATGACTTTGCAACCTTTGTTTTTTTCCCCCTTTTATTGAAAACTGGAACTTAGTGTGCAGTCTTCTGGAATATCTTCTTTGATACTGAGCTGCTAAAATTCATATGTGATAAGAGTACTAGGAGGCTCTTTTGTTATAATATTTGACATTTGACCTTAGTTCCTGCCACAAGGCCACAAAAACCCTTGGCATTTCCTCGGTGATAGGAATGTGATTTCTTCTAATGAGCAACTTTGTGTGGGCTCCTAGACAGCTTCTGAATGGGAGCTGGTCGTTGAAAAGATCAAGCCACGATTAGAAAGTTGGAATTTTTTAGCATCTCTCTCCAGCGCCTTTCCTTGTGGGAAGGCTTCCCTTGTGGCTCAGCTGGTAAAGAATCCACCTGCAATGCGAAAGACCTGGTTTTGATCCCCTGGAGAAGGGAAAGGCTACCCACTCCAGTGTTATGGCATGGAGAATTCCATGGACTATAGTCCATAGGGTTGCAAAGAGTCGGACACTACTGAGCGACTTTCATTTCACTCTCATGCCACCCCCTACCCTTGCCATTGTATTGAGACGAGAGAAGGGTTGAAAATAGAGCTAATGATAAATAATACTTAGGTGATGAAGCATCCTTTAAAATTCCAACAAAATGGGGTTCAGAGAGCTTCCAGGTTGGTGAATACATCCACACACCAGGAGGGTGCCATACCCTCAACTCAGGAAGACAGAAGCTCCTGTGCTTGGGACCTAACCCCCCCAATGCCTATCCCCCCCATACCCCTCACCCCAGGCCTCGACCTCTGTATATCATCTGACATTCATCTGTATCCTTTAATAGACTAATAAATATAGGTAAGTGTTTCCCAGAGTTCTGTGAGTTGGTCTAGCAAATTACTGAATCCTCCGGGTACGAGGTCACAGGAACCTCCAGGTAGAACAGAAGTTGGGAGTAACTTGGGGACTTACTACTTGTAATTGGCATCTGAAGCAGAGTCAGTCTCATGGTACTGGTCCCTAACCTGTGTTATCTGATGTTATTTCAGATTGTGTCAGAATTGAGTTAAATTGTAGGACAACCAGCTAGTATCCCAGAGAACTGCTTGGTGGGAGAAAACACCCATGCATTTGGTGTCAGAGGTAAAGTATTCTGTATGAGTAGTAATGAAGACATGTGGGAAAAAGACTGGGTTTTTCTAGTACATACATTAATCTGACTTGCTGTTAACATCAGACTGAATCCAATAGGAACTACTACTAATTTTAGGCAATCATATGTCATCCATTTAATGACATGTTCTAGAATCTTGCCAAGATTCTGGAAAGATTTACAGCCTCTGTTTCCCACCCCACCCCACCACCCTTTGGAAAACTGTAACCTAGGTTCCAGTTTCCTGGAATATCTTCCACCCACACGATTTCTCCAGAATATTAGCAGTGACCAAGTTGCATATTTACAGTACTGAGAATGTAATAGTTACTAAGTCAGGAGTCTTGAAATGATTTTTTCATTTGAAAAGATGTAATATTAGAAACAGTCTTAAGACAAAATTCATATTGCTTTCACCCTCACATAATACAGTTCTACAAATAACTTCCTGATACTTTCACAACCCCAAATTTACTCCACTCAGCTGGCTTTCTCATTGGAATTAATGCTGACGCCACTTCATTTGTTCAGGCCATAATGCTGAGAGTCATCCTCATACTCCTCTCGTACATTCCCTGTCAATCTGTCTGAAAATCCTCTTGGCTCTATCTTCAAACTATGTCTCAGATTCAATACCTTGGTATTCTCACAGCCAACTTCATCCCACAGGATGAAGGACAACCCAGGTCCTTACTTTCCTCCCCCAGTAGCCTAGTCTTCATGCAACAGTCAGAGTGATCCTGGCATTTTTCTGCTTAAAACCCCACAGTGTATCCCCAGTTCAATTGGAATAAAAAGCCAGTCCTTTCAGTAGACTACAGAGCCTAATACCAACTGGCCTGCTTACTCCTAAAGGGCTTTGCTCACTCTGTCTCAGCCACTCTACCTTCATTGCTGTTCCTTGGGGAATATTTCTAGTGCAAAAGCTCTAGCTGTTCTCTCTGCTTATCAGTTCATCAGTCAGTTAAGTCTCTTAGTCATGTCCGACTCTGCAACCCCATGGACTGCAGCATGCCAGTCTTCCCTGTTCATCACCAACTCCCGGAGCTTGCTCAAACTCATGTCCATCAAGTCAGTGATGCCATCCAACCATTTCATCCTCTGTCAGCCGCTTCTCCTCTTTCCTTCAAATTTTCCTAACATCAGGGTCTTTTCCAGTGAGTCAGTTCTTCGAATCAGGTGGCCAAAGTATTGGAGCTTCAGCATCAGTCCTTCCAATGAATATTCAGGACTGATTTCCTTTAAGATTGACTGATTTGATTTGTAGTCCAAGGGACTTGCAAGAATCTTCTCTAACACCACAGTTGAAAAGCATCAATTCTTCAGCGCTCAGCTTTCTTTATGGTTCACTTC